GGAGGGGGATGCAGGGAGAGGAGGGGGGAGGGGGAGAAGTCAGGGGGCAGAGCACCCTTGTCTTATTTGCAGCACCTTGTCTTATTACACAAGGTGCTGCAAAAAAACAGAGTGGAAAACCATCCCTGCCCAAAGAGCCCAAAATCTTTTCCTATATTTATTTGATATGCATGCTCTGAAATGGAAAGTATAGTAGAAGATACTGCAGTACTCACCATTTCTGCTAATGATAAATACAAGAACATTCCAGCTGTGACAGTAAAAATCCAGTTCTGAACACAGGAGTCAGTTGATACTGAAAGGCCAATATAAAGCCCTATGAAGGCAGTTAGTGCACTTACAAAATTCATTAATAATGCAATTTTTGTGGAAAGCCCTGTACTTAACAGCACAGCAAAATCTCCTGCATATAGAAAATAAAATAAAAGATATTTAGCAGATAAAATATTTGCATGATTACATGGCAGATAAGTAATCAATAATAGTTTAGACAGAATTACAAACACACACAGTGTGTTTGATGCTGGAGGGCTGGCCTTATATTGATTGCAAGTTTGTGCAGCTATCACAGTTACATATCTAGTCATATTAGTTCAGGTATTCCTAAAGATAGCATACATTATAGAACGGAGGGCTCTGCATTAATTCTTAATGTTCTGTGACATTTCCAACTTGGATACATGCAAATGTGAAGTCACATGGTTTCCCAGAGTTTCTAAATCTTTCTTGATTGGGAACTTGCCAGTGGAAATCATGTGATTGTCTGTAACATGATATTTAGGTCTTTACTTACAGGTATTGTATCTCAAAAATAAAACAGGAGCTGATTCTGATCTCAGTAGCACAGGTTTTACACTGGTATAATTCTGCATTTTTCAGGGGCATTACCCCATATTTGCCTTGGTCTAAGTTGGATCAGAATCAGCCCTCGGGATGCTTCTTTTAGAGAAGGATCCAATACAGGCAGTCCCCGACTTACGTGGATCCAACTTATGTCGGATCTGCACTTACGAACGGATAAGTTCGTAACACTTACTTACTTACTTACGTGTCCTCCGGGGCGAGAAAAACTTCTCCTGGTCTCCCTGGTCTGCTGGGGGGGGGGGGGCCAGGAAAGCCG